ACTGTACACTTTGTTTTCAGACTAATCTAGCCTCGTAATGAGACGGTGACCTCCTATTTGCTTAACACAATATCTGCAATACAATGTGAACAATAAGTCCACATTTCCACCATGTTGATAAAGACGACATTGTATGTAAGTGTTTTACTGTTTCTCCTTCCTTGTGTGATGTTACTGTGACTTGCGTTTGATTTTTATTCATATCACTCTTTTGATTGTTTTCTAGCGGCCTGTAAGACTTATTATGAGCCATCAAAATCAAGCCAGAAAACTCATTGAGGGCGGATGTGGCGAAGAGTTCAGCTCAGAGTCGAGCGAGAAGAAAGAGGGTAAGACTAAACTGCATCGCACAGTAAGGCAAGGGAGGTTTATTTGTGTAGCACAATTCATACACAAGGAAACTCAAAGTGCTGAACAAAAGAAAGCATTAATATAAATAATCACAGTACATTAACAAAGATAAATATAAATTCCCTCAGTTGTAGCACAGCTAAAGTGAGACAGGCCTCCTCTCTGACAATGTTTAAAACCAGGTTAAAAACAGTGCAGTTTAGCTGTGCTACAACTGAGGGATTTTATATTTATCTTTGTTAATGTACTGTGATTATTTATTTTAATGCTTTCTTATTTTGCTCAGCACTTCGAGTTGCCTTGTGTATGAATTGTGCTAGACAAATAAACTTGCCTTGCCATCGTACTTCCTGGTTCTGGTTAGGACTTGAGCTGCTGCATTTTGAATGTACTGCAGCTGTTGTTACAGTAGTCTAACCTACTGGAGACAAATGCATGGATAAGAATCTCCAGGTCTGCTTTAGACACTATGTTTTTGATCCAGGCAATGTTTAGATGGGGAAAAAGGATTTGATGTGGCTAATAATATTTACTGATTCTTTCAGCTGCTGGAATCGAGACTGAGTGTGCTAGAAAGTGACAAAGTGGAACTCTGGAAGTCCGCCACGGTAGACCTAATGTCCAATGAAGAAGGCGGCGTTGTGGACGGTGTCTCTGGGTGGATTGTGCGGTCGCCGTCTTTTCGAAAGCCGGAGTTTTCTGAACTCTGTGTCAAGCTGCAGTCCCGGTTAGAGGCGGCACGGAAGTACAGAGCCACGCACATTAAGCGTCTCTCTAGAACCCTGCCAAATTACAACCCAGAGGAGGCGATTGGACAGTTCAGAGTTGTAATTTTTTAATTACCTATGTGTGAGCATAAAGCTGTGTGTGTGTGTTTTAATAAAGCTTTCTTTGTATGAACATATTCCTGGAAAATGTTCATTTCATATCTTTTCAAATCTGGTTTCCTTTTCTCCATAGCATGTCTGTAACAAAAGTTCTCATAATCTGAAGTCGGCGTATTTACATGGTTTTATGAAACAGAATTCTGAGAAAAACAGGTTTAAAGATCGACATTCCAAACATAATCATCACAGTCACATATAACATGTAAATTTTGAATTACTCTGTTATGGCACACTTGTTTTAGTCACTATGTTGTAGAAGATTAAAAAGATGTTACTTTGGCACCAATTAAACACACAACACTCATGAATTAGTCGAAAATCAAGAATGTATTGATTCTTTCAATATTCAATGGATTGAATTTTGACCTCCTCTTCTTTTTCTTTCTCTTTATAATTTACTGAAAATTAGATATGTATTAGACATTGCCAGTATTATTCTATCAAATCACGCAGTCTAAATATCCACAACCACCAAGCATTTTTAATGCAAGGAGAAACTTAGGTAACTTTAAACACAAATAAAACAAATGGACCTGTCCGACTCGAGTGTCTATGCTTCGTGTGTCTCTGGTTCTGTCCAAGTGTCTATGATCCGTGTGTCTCGCGTGTCTCCGCCTGTCTGGGTTTTGTCTGCGTATATGTAAATGTAAATGTCTGTCTGTGGTTCTGTTCGCGTGTCTATGGTCCTGTCTGTGGTTCTGTTCGCGTGTCTATGGTCCGCGCTCGGAGCCCAGACGGCAGTGCGTTCACTGAGCTGTCAGAGCGGGGGTCACAGCAGCTGCTCCCGGGGCCAGAGCGGAGGATGTAACGTAACGTTCGGTTTATCAAAACATATCACAATATTTAACGTATAACACTAGTGAATTTCACCTAGATTTTTTCAGACGTTAAAGACAAGATGTTATATAATAATTGTTTAATGAAAAAACAATTTTGCCACAAGCAACCAAAAGATGTGCCTCAGACAAGAATCGAACCTGGGTTCTCCAGGTCCCTGTATTTAATGCTAACCATTCGGCTAACATAGCACCTCTGGGCTAGACAGGTTTGCACGCAGTCTTATACCTGAGCGTCTAAGTCGCTGGCAGAGCTAAAGCGGACTTAGCCTGCCACCTTGTGGCGATAAGATGTACTATTTTTCACGCAGCTGCGTGATTCCCGAGAAGCGTGAATGAAGACGACAAAACGGAATGGGACCTACTGTAGCCGTATGCTAAAAACAAAGGGTTGTGGCTAGCTTGTAGCTTGCCGAAAGCAGCGGTTTTAGCAGTAGTTTAGGCAGTAAACATTGAGTTTAGGCAACTGAATGCAGTTTGGTTAAACAGAGTGGCACTAGTTTTAACAGTAGAGAAGCAGCTTATAGTGGGAGGGTGGAATTAGGAGCAGGGGCTGTGTTCGAGTGTAGCCTCGAACCTAGCGCCCAAGGGCGGAAGTTAGTCTTATGCTAGAACAAAGGAATGTAGCTAGCCGTTAGCTTGCGAGCGCGGAGGACTAGCGGCAATATTAGACAATGAACAGTCTCGCAGCGAGTTATACGGTTCGCACAAGCACGTATTTGCAGTGGTGGGATGGAGTTGTCTGTAATGTACTGTAGAGTCCTGGTGTGTGTGTACAACAGCAGGTTAGCAGGAGGAGACAGTGGAGAGACAGGGCTAGCGTTAGCCACCTTAGCAGAACAATAGCATCACATTCAAACCGCTGCCATTCGCAGCCTTTATACACATAAAACACTCTGTTACAGGCTTCGTGACACGGGTCACAAAAGGGACACAGAGTAGGTTTGTACGCCCGTGTTCTGGGCACGGCGCACAGTGGTTTAGGATAAGTTTTTGCACTTTCTCTTAAGAGGGAAGCGGCTTCACGATGTCACGCCGCCTACCAGGCCTGGGTAGGGCGATACGTTGCAGACAATGTGTAGTACCCAATACAAACGTCGGGATTTAAGACTAAATTAATAGTCTGGTGCATGCACGAGTCGCTATTATTGTAAGCGGGATGCGGGGGGGCTCGATTGGCGTCGAAGTCACTATGGCAACGGGCAGCAGGGAGAGGCGTGGGGTGGGGAGGTGGGGGGGACAAGCGCTTGGAGCGTGAGCAGTGCTTAAGTTAGCGTATTACAGGTCAAATTACAGAGTACGAGTTGATAAATCTGGTTTATATGCCCGGATCTCACAAACAGGGTACCATATATGTAGGGTAATAATATTACTGATTATGTTATGAGAAGAATTGTAAGATGTAGTGTAGTGCGGGTAGTCTCCAAATCAGAGTCTGCCGTACTACACGAGTGGGGATCTGCTTTAATTTTTATGGCACCAGCAGAGTTTGAAAAGTCTGCACAGATCCAAACTAACTTTGCCTCGAGTCAGTCTCATAATCTAATAGGTAGTGAATGCGTAAAATCAGCCAGAGATATCCAAAACTTAACAACACGACGCTTAAATGATTGAGTTAAAGTTAACGTGAATTTATTGACTACAAAAATTAAAGATGGAAAATATAACGAAGGGGATTTCTGGTCACATTAAACAGAAGTTGCATACATCTCATTTGAAACACACATCCAACAAAAGAACAGTCTTACTTTGAGCCGTTCAAGGGAGATGGTGATGAAAAGAGGAGAATGGAGAATGGAGATGGGAGGATGAGAATGAAGAATAGGATGGAGGCGATGTCCTCGTCCACGTGGTCTTTGTTCGAACAGGGAGCAGGAGGAAGCCAGCAGATCGGATCCAGGCGTGGATTCCACACACAACACGGTCTAGAATAGCGTTGCGGTGGGGTGTTCCAGAAGCCCGAAAGTGGCTGGCGATAGAAGGCCCTCGTCTCCGACAGCGAGAGTGGCTGCTGTCCTCGTGGATGTACAGGCCCGAGATGGTGGCGGGCGTAGGCCGTGTAGGGGACACGTACCAAAAAGGATGGTTGCAAGAGTGATTTCGGGGGAACCAAGAGGAAGTCTCTGAGTGCGCGCTTTGGTTTTGTTGTGGTCAAAGTGGGCGCGTCCGTGACGTCATCTTTGGGCGCTCCTTTGAGCCGGCATGTTCACACAGGCGAAACACAACACATATAGACATTCTATCGTTCATAATCATATACCGATACACAGTGCATTCACATCACAGACAACGCCACATACGAGTAGTGTCCGTAACGGTTATCAACATAATGTCATCGGGGAATGTCCGTTTCGAGTGTCCGCCTCGGGTGTGATAGTGTCCGGTATCCGCTGGGGGGCGCCATAACGCCGTGGGGGAGTCGTTGATTGTCCAGGGACAGGAAGGTCCCGGGAGGGAGAGCAGAGTTGTGATCTTTGATCTCTACAGGCAGGCAGAGACAGAGGTGTTTATTCCCATGGTGACTTTATTGCTCTGTTTGACGCCTGTAATCTCCGTGATCAATGGCAGTCCTCCGGTCGACCTCGCTGTTCCTTTGACGTAGCAGTGGGATGTCTCCCTCCTTTTGGTTGAATGTTTACACAGCTCAGGGCCTGGCTTTGTTGTCCGACCCTGTCCCTTATTTAACCTTACATATTCGTTTGGCGTATGAAGCTCAGGGCTTGCCGCCTCCGGCCCAGTTGAGGGCTCACTCATCTCGCGGGGTTGCCGCTTCGGTGGCTTTGTTCCGTGGCACTTCCGTGGAGGAGATCTGCAGAGCGGCGTCTTGGTCCTCCTCCTCGACCTTTGTGCAGTTTTACCTACTAGATGTGGCCTCTGACTCTGTGGCTCATTCGGTTTTGAGTGCAGGGCGGCCCTAGTTCCTCCTTCAACTAGGGTTGTCTGGAGAGGTGTTGGCGCTCTTGGGAGAGGCGGCCTGGACACCTCTGCAGTAGGGATAGGCGCTCTTGGGAAAGGCGGCCTAGACCCTTCTGCAGTCTGCTCTACATTCCTGGGGTTCAGGTGCTCTTGGGAGAGGCTCCCAGGTAAAAAAAAAGTACAACTAAATGTACTTAAATTATATTATCTTTTCTAAAAGTATGTTTTAAGTACATTACTCCATTATATGTACTAATTTTCAGTACATTAAAAATAAACTTTGTATACCAGCTAAAAATATATTCAAATTTCAGCTGTAATTAATTTACACTTAAAAGTACTTAATTAAAATGTACTTTTGATTTAATGTATTTCAGTGTATTCAGAGAAATGTACTTGCAATAAAATATAATTAATTTGAATTTTAATACACTAAGAAAATATACTGACAAAATCTGAACTTAAGTATCATTCAAATGTAGTTTCAAAACAAGAATCCCTCCTTTTACAAATATATGTAGTTGTAAAATTAAACAAGCAAAAGATACAGCTCAAGTATTTTATTTTTTCAAATCAAATTGTACATTAGTCCCTTTCAATATTATTTGGCAAAGTTGTGACAAACATTTTGTCATTGTCATTAATAAGAACACATTTCTTGTTGAAATAATGAGCATGGACTGCATAAACAGCATTTTCCTCAGTCACCTCATGAATAAACCAGGATGTGATTTTAAGATCATAGTCTCTACAAAAACACCTCCCTGATGGACGGAGCTTCTTAACCAGAACACACGTTTGGTTTGATATGTGGTCAAAAGCTACCAGACCTATTATCTTACAGAATGTGCCATCATACAATTCAACAACACAGTTATGTCTTTTCTGAAGTCTTGAATTTTCATGCGAATGATAAAGCACACCATTAACAATGAAACGTTCAAAATACCTTCCGCTTTTCACTCTAAATCCAAAGAGGTCCTCAATTGCCAGAATGTGCCTTAAAAGCAGATTAACAACACGTGGATTTCCAAAAACGCGCACACTGTCCGAGAGGCGCAGTGACCTGGCAGTTTCAACACAATGATGTTGCAGATCGTAGAAAAGTTCTTTGATAGTGTTTTCAGCATATTTCATGTACTTTTCTGATTTGCTGTTAATATCTCTCCATTTGAGAAACCGCTTTACAATCTGGCTATCAACATGTGTAGTTCCATTAAAAAATCTCATGAGGGTACCATTAAAAGACTCAAAAGGAAATGTGGATGTGGCCCAAAGGGGTCCCCAATTCCTCACACATGTAGAAATATGTGTCATCAAGTGCACATTAAAAGTCATGTTTCTTTTCCCATACAACTTTTCAAATTCTTTCACAAATTTGTTTAAGGCCTTTTCAGCCTGATTAACCTGAACATGTTGAATCTTTTCTTGGAGAAGAGAATAAATCCCAAACACAAGAAGAAAAAAATGATTCAAGTATTTCTTTGAAAGAACACCACAAAGCACAGGTAAAGCATAAAACAACAAAAAAGACCTCCACTCAGACGCTTTCCAATATTTTCTGTCTTTTACTGAGCGCGGGACCCTTACAAGTTCTGTGGGGGGCCTAATAGACAGTAACTTCTTGTCAATGATTTCTGTTTTTGTTCCTATGTACCACGGTTTTTCATGATTGTTAGAATCTTGCCACAATGTCATTAACTGCCTAGTTACCCCAAGGCATACACTGTGTTGGTATTCAGGCACAAACCCATTAATCGTCTGAAAGTTTCTAAGCTTCATTAAAGGGGAAGGTCCTTTAACGCCCATGACAGGATGAGAAGGAGAAGCAGCCATAGCATGTTGGTAATGTACAGATTCAACTCTCAGCAGTGGCTCAGGGTTCACATAAGAATATGCTCCTCCCCCTTTGTGATAACAGAAATCACAGCCATATTCACCATTAAACTGTTTTGTGTTTCTAATTTGGGGCCGCGCAATGGAGTCTGAGCTACAGATAAGAGCAAAGACTTTGGTGAAATGTGTCTTGTTCTGTGCATCAGTCCATGTTATTCCAGAGTTCTCCAAAACTTGAAGTTCTTCCACAAAGGGGGTTAAGAGAGTCATGATGTTTGGTTTCTTTTCACCAAACCATATGCAGGGTATGCAAATAAATTTTTTTCGCTCTTTAGGTTTGAGTTCTATTATTTGACATTAAATTGGCCACAATTGACATTTGGAGCTTTTGAACACAGGAATGCCATCACAGTTCCAAATCAAACTTATGTCGTCACTCCCCATTTCACCGCTTTCAATTAGTTTCTGATATTCCATTCCAGAATATATGTCTGTTATATCGCCAGAATGATTTTTTTGTGCAAAAGAGATCTTTTGGTTCTCAAGGATATCTTTTAACTGTGTTGACAAACTTAGAACTAGAAAGTATGACCCACTTTTCCAACAAGTATCTATATCAAATGATGTCTGACAAACTGAGCACACAGTAAATCCATCACCCTTACCAATGTAATTTGTGCACTCTGAGCAGTAGAAATGTGCTTCATAGTGTCCATACTTGCCATAAGCTTTATGGAACAAGTAAGATGTTGCTGGCAGAGATCCTGGGAACAATTCATTAAATATTTTGAGGAGGTGTTCAAGTGCTGTCCCCGTCAGGCTGTGTCTCAAAATGTAGGCCATCAATAGAAGTAAACTTTGTCCTTTGGTAATTGAAGCCCCTGGGTAAAGTACATCATCCACCATCTACACAGCAAAAAAAAGAAAAAACACACCCACACACACGTATGCTATTATTATTATTACATATTTCAAAAAGAGATTAAATTATGACAAACATATAACTTACCTCACGTGGTGCTGTTGTGGTTGCCTCAGTGTGGTTGTTCGGAGGGCCAATACGTAGAGGCATTCCATGGATCTAAACCATGTAGACATTACTTGATCAGCCAACTATGATTTAAATCAGTGCCCTTTTAATTCAGCCAATATTAATGGATCAATAAACAATGGAGGGGAAAACATGATAGATCGGAACATTCTCCTAATTAACTTATAATTCAAATGGTTAGCCCAAATCAGTTATGTGGATCACTTCTCTTCTTTCTTTTCTAAATGCTTTTAGTAACCTACCAAGTCTGAAGAAAGCGGATCTCCTTGTCCATTATCATCACCGTGTTCCTCATCCATAAGATTCTAAACAAATACAGACTAGTCATATAAGCAGATTCATATGAACAAGTAAATGAGAGGCCTTATGGTTATAACTTTAATTGTTTTACCTCTTTAGATGTAACTACATCATCGGGTTCATCACTGTGTTCACTGTTTCTCAAAGCTTGGACAACACATATTGGCTGTACAAAAATATATGCTAAATGTTTATATGTTGTAAAATTCCTGTTATCATGTTTCTATATTTCACAATGTCTTTTTTTACCTGCACATTTTCAGGCTTGTGAGGCCCTGTAGTCTCATCCAAAGTAAAGGGGACTTGTCCCATATAATCATCTTGTGACAACAAATCCCCATGCTAATGGAAAGTTAGAGTTGAGTAAAATGTATTTACGCAAAAATATAATACACATTGTTGGAAAGTTACATGTGTTTCAAGAGCAGTCTCTCTTAGTCTTTTTGAGGATGGCTGTTCATTTCTCCTCTGGTCAACTGACTGCTGTGGACAACATAATGAAGAACCAAATGTAGATAACAGTTAACACATGGTGTTAATTAGGCCAAGTGAAAGTAAATGTATTACAGGTGTTTATTTCATACCAGTATTCTTTTTCTGTAACTGCTTGTCCGGGGCACCTCTTCGTGGCCCTCCACATACCTTTTATAAAATGATCTAGTTGAAATCTAGAAAGACAAAACAGAAACAATTCCAAAATTCAGTCTCCAATACATAGTTCCCACATGACGTCACTACATACGGGGATTTGCCGACCCGGCGCCATTTGAGTTGGCATGCTGTGGGCAAAACAATAGAAAAAGAAGCTGAAACGTGTTAATGTCGTGATAAAGTTGAAAATGGTCATCTCCTGCTGGGTCAATGGATGTTCAAATCGTGCCGGAGGTTCCGTTAAACTTGGATTTTACAGTATGCCCATCATTAGACTTCATGAATGTGAGAAGACTAAGCTTTTGTCAGAACAACCACGGAGGTTATGGCTTGCGAAGATAAACAGGCAAGAAACTCCCTCAAAACACGCAAGAATATGCTCGGAGTACTTTGTGTCAGGTGCGTATCGTATCTTATAATGTGTTGACAGACGTAATTTACTCAGTACTAACTTGTGTATGCTGATACCTGGTAACTTGAGAGTTTCATTATTTAGATTACTTTATTATGAGGAGGATCGGTGTCGCGTCCGAGGCTCTCGAGGGCAACGTAAATGTATTAAATAGATAATAATAGTTCTATGGTGGGCTAAAACAATGTTCACAAACAGCATTGCTTCTGTAAAAAGATCTGTGTCATAAAATAAACTGCTCTTTACGCCTGGAAAAATCAGTTGCCCACCATTCACCAAAACATACGGTCAAAAACGCGGAAATAAACAATAACAGCAATCCAGAGTGTCCGTGTGGCATTAGCATTAATTAAATTAATTGTTAATATAATTAAAATAATTAAATGGAGCTCCAATTGGTATTAAATCTAAAGTTTTTGAGAAATGTTTGCATTGCTTGTTAATTTTTGCTGCATAATTTGATCAAATATGTAAAACATGTCCGTAGCATGTTAAACTGTGGTGCCATTGTATTAATATACAATTGTTTGCTCAAAAGTTGCCCTTTTTTTCCAATTTGCGTTTGAATATCTACATTTATTCTCATTCTTCTGTTTAATGGAATGCACAAACACAGCAGCGTGCCATCAAAGATGGCGTCTCCGAGGAGGTCATGTGACATTCATTGGTCTGTGGGAACTATGTAGTTCCCACCGGAGATATTCAAGATATTCAAACTATCTGAATGACGTCACTAAGACACGCCCCCGCCGCCTGTCAACTCCCGCCCACATGTTTCGGACAAACACTGCCGAAATGAATCAAATACCACTTGTCACTTTAGACGAAAATGATATACCAGGAGCAAAATTCCACCATCAAACCATCAGGGATCATAGTGTAGACCAATTATAACGTTGGCTTGAATGTCATGGTCTTCCAGTAACTGGTAGAAAGTTTGAATTGATAAAAAGGTGATGGTCAGGATTATTGATATATACAGTCTATGGCAGGGGTCGGGAACCCAAAATGTTCAAAGAGCCATAATTGACAAAAAAACTAAAAACAACATCTGTCTGGAGCCGCAAAAAAATAACAGCCTTGTATAAGGCTTTTATGAAGTTAACACAGGCTGGAAGATGTATTAGCTATATTAGCCTAATATCTAAATGACAAAGTAAAGGCTACAAATACATAATAATCATTCATGATTATCAAATGTGTATTTTCACTGCAGCGTGTCGCACCACGCGTGTCGTGAATGACGCAACACGGGACAACTCTGCTTTAGTTTAACTTCCACTTTTTTATATATACATATTAGTGCTGTCCAACGATTAAAATATTTAATCGCGATTAATCGCATGAATTTCATAGTTAACTCGCGATTCATCGCAAATTAGTCACACATTTGCGTGCTGTGTGCAATTGCTTTTTTTATTGAAAACAATGTGTAGTGTTATATTACACACTAACATTTGATGCAAAATCATCAATAAATGGATGACAAAATAAATAATTGGTAACAAAAAGCCCCTTCAATGTGTATGTGTGGGTATAGACTGTATAGAAACATCATGGTGTCATTATGATGATGATAAACAATCTGTAAATATTTTGTAAATTTGTTCATGTAAATACTCTATGCTGTTTCTCTGTTTACCTTCGGTATATCTATGACTGTATACTGTTTGCTTGTATTGCCTTTTTTATTAACCCCTCCCCCCATCTCCCACTTCATGTCCCCCCCCCCCCCCCCCTCCCCTCCTATGTGCCCTTCTGGGTTTCTTCTTTGGCCCCCTGTATCTCCAACTACATATTGTTTGTAATCTCTGTCTACAATGTATCTGAACTAGTCCTTTTCTTTGTTTCTATTTTTTTTTCTGTATATGTGTTTGTCTGCAATAAAAAGTAAAAAAAAAAAAAAAAAAATCGCGCGATAAAAAAAATGACGGCGTTAATATTGATTTGCGTTAACGCGTTAATAACGCGCTATTTTGGACAGCCCTAATACATATATATATATATGTATATAAAGTACAACGTTGAATAAATCATGCTTCCCTCCTTGTTTGAAGATTTATTTTTTCCGTGACGATAGAATGTGTGTGACGTGTGTGTACCATTGATCCACTGCTCACTTGCGGCGGGATGATCTAGTTAGCCCCCTTAGCCCCGCGTTAGCTCCGTACAAAAACATGAGCGCTAACGTGATGACGCAGGTCGTACTTGCGCGCGCTTGTGTTCATCCACCAATCACAGATGGACCACTTTCTCCATCAAAACGTTTTCAAATGGTGCTTGAAAATGTCTCTGCCAAAATTCTGTCTCCTTTTTTATCCTGGTGCAAATGCTGTGTCTGTGGAGTCGTCGGATGTGATAAGAGTGGAACACAGAAAACTTGAGAACGTAGTAGAAAGTATGGATGATCTGGAGCATGAGGACGGGTATGTCAAAGTTACACTTCCCAGCCGGAGCAGAAAAGGACCAAATCCAACTCTGGCTGCTAAAATTCTTTTATTTGGTAGTAAGTAACAGATCATGTGTATACAATGTTATGTTAATCCTTTCATTCATTTTTATTCTGATGAGTGGGCACTGCTATTATGAGTACAATGAGATAGCAGCCTAGCCAGCTAACGAAGTAGCTTATTAACATTAGCAATTTCGTTTTTCTTAGAAAGCAGCCAGATTGCCTGCACCTTTTTTATTTCTATATTATGTCTAGTGATTCCTCATGTTGCTTTAATGCTACGTATAACGCTTTACAATCTAAAATGAGTCCCGGTACTGGCTAGTTGTCCATACATTTGACCATGCTGTCATAAGGCAAGGACCCACGTGGCAGTGCTAGGCTAATCGTGCTACGGTTTTGAATCAATCAGGATATGAATATTGTGTTATGTTTATTTTATTGTTTTTAGATGTTTACCGTGACCTTGTGATAAAGAAGGACGCTTTCAAAAAAGGATACTGGACTCCTGGTCAAAGTTTCTCTAAGATGGTATTTCCTTAACTTTTTTTTCAGCACTCATTTTCTACACTTAAGTACATTTTGTGATATTCTTTCAGATCAGTCATGCATCCCCCAAGAAAGCTACCAAAAAGGCTGCTACTAAACAGGCTGCTGCTAAGAAAGCGGCAGATGTAATGACGGAAAATTTAAAACGAAGTCTCATGGCGGGCAAGCATCAACCAGCAGCACTGCAAGAATCGGATGAAACCGATATTGACACAGATATTGATTTATTTGATCATTCTCAAAGATGGACGAGAAAGAAAAGAAAAGTAAACAAAGTTACATACTAATCTACTATATAGTGTATTGACTGGACTGTATTTGTTTTTCTGTTTCATGGCACAGGCAATTTTAGAAAGTGATGACGAAACTGAAGAATCGTCTCAAACCATTGTGGATGGGGCAGGAGTAAGTCCTTCAATTCTGGCCCAAAGTGGCACTAATAACTACACGGTTTTGGACCAAAGTACAGCTAATGCTATTAAGGGTATGAACATTAATAATATATATTCTTTTTAGTGTCTTTGTAATTGTATTTCTCTTTGTAGAACTTCCAAGTCTTCTTCTGCAAATAAAAAACACTCTGGCAGCAATAACATACAATTCTACAAGCACTCCCTGTCCCTCTGTAAGCTCTGATGATGGACACATTGTGACACAAACACAAATGGTAAGTTACACATTCTTTGGAGAGACATAATGCCCATTTACATGTAAATGACACCAAATATTATCACGGCATCTTCCTTTCCATTGACAATGATGACTATTTGACCAGTTCTTTTTTGTCAACAGATTGCGCTGGGTGGATCAGATGTTCAAGTTGAAAAAAAACTTTATGATAGGCTCAATACATCCAGAGTATCTCTCTTTGTCCAAGATTTGGCTTCACTTGTCTTTGGAAAAGAGTGTCTGGGGAGATCCACATTGACAGGAAAGGGTGGAAAAGAACAGTTGGATTCACACAAAGTGAATGTAATTGCAGGTATGTGTTGAATGTATTCATTTTCTCAAAAAATAAATAAAAAAAGTATAATTTGTATGCGTTTTCAGACACTGTGAGGGAGCGTTTCCCAGGAACATCAGTGTCTGAGATAAGGAGTCTCCTTCGTCGCAAATGCAACAACGAAAGTTACTACACCAAAAAAACGTGCTAATAGAAGAGTTCAAAGTCTCCTTCGTCAAAAATGCGACAACAAAAGTTAATACACTAAGAAAAACGTGTTAGAAGAGTTCAAAGAGTCCACTCATGTTTTGATGGAAATGTACAATTCATATTTCTGGTAAATATATTTGAGCAGAAATAAAATATACTTTTAAAAATGTGTTTTGATCACTAATATGTTTCCAATTATATTTGTATTATGTCTAAGTACAATTTAAGTTGTTTAAAAAGTGTAATAATACTGAACTTTTAGTCTATTTTTATGGTGTTTAAAATAGAACAGAAACATAATGTAAATACATTCTAATTGCACTTTAACATATTTTAGTAATATGCTTGAAGTATATTATTATGTACATTTTCACAAGCACATCTTTAATATACTAAAAGTCATCTTAAGTTGTTCCATTTTAACACAACTTAAAGACAACTTAATATATTCAAAATGTACAAAAGTTGAACTAAAGGTGATATAAAATGTAACTTAATTTGTAATTAGTTGTTCCAAAATAACACACTTAAAGCATATTCAGTACAGTGGAATGAAAGTATATTTAATACTACAAAACAAGTACAACTTAAATGTATTTTTTTTTGACCTGGGCTGCCTACCCAGGTTTGTTCTGAATTCTTTCCTGCTTTGCAGGTTGGGGAATGCGCGGGCACTCTTGGGAGAGGTAGCCCTGCATCCCTTTCTCTATGGCTCGTAGGACCTCCGTTTCTACCGCTTGGTTGCGGTATGAGCAGGAGGGTCACGAGTTTGCTCCAATCACCAGAGTTCATGCCTGCTGGGAGTACATTGGTCTGGGCTTCGCTATGTTATGCATTAGCGAAGCCTAAAGGGCGAAGCAACATATGAAATAGAAGCCCTAGTTACCTAATGTAACTAAGGTTCTATGAATATGTTGCGAAGCCCTTTAGCTTCCAGCCCAGCAGGCCTGCCCTCTCTTATTCGGCTGAGTTTGAAAGGAGAAGAAATGTGATGCATGACCCTATTTATAGGGGACAGACCTACGTCAGGACGTGAAGGTGATTGGAGGGTGGATCGTTTGATCTTCTCAGGGCGGGAAGCGATGCTTCCGAAGAGATAAGCATTAGCGAAGCCTAAAGGGCTTCGCAACATATTCATAGAACCTTAGTTACATTAGGTAACTGGGGTTTATGTGTGTACCTTCAGTGCAGTCTATCTATGTAAGTGCTCACTATTTCTGGAGCATATGCAGTAGTTTAATGTTGAACGTAAGTGAGAATGCATCACGTGTGTGCCGCGATTTAATGTAACGACATTCCGCGGCCGCTAGAGGGCGCCTTCACTAAGTCCAGGCACCTTCATTATACAGCCTTTTAATGCTGTTTATGTTCTGTTTATTGATATTCTTTTATAAGTACTAAATATGAGCGTGTATTTAAGAGAAAATGCTTTATAAGAGCATACTTTTCTCTGTTGTAGTTATTGAATAATATGTTTGATTATTCATTGTATTTGTCTGTATTTGCAGTCAGTGTCGATCTGTGCATCAGAGGCAGCTGCAATAAATACTGCAGCTTCAACCTGGTCTCTCCCTACCTTCCCTGCGTTCTGATCAACGCCCCATCATGTCTCATGTCGGACCCCTTTAAGAATTGGCAACATACAGTCCACCCTCCGAGAAATATTTTATCGCCAGCACACCCCTGGACCTGCTCCACCTTATTAAGAAACAATGAAAAAAGCGTCAATAATGGGTTAAGATTAAGAATAATCCTTGTGTTTATGTTTAACCTTAGTACTTCTCTTCTGATCTGTGGAACATTCAACATGAACTATTTCCCAACAATAGGAAAGGACAAGTTATCTTTAAAAAAAAGACCAGACAAACAAGACGCTTTATAAACAAATATTTCTTAAAGTTAGTGCTTTAAAAAACATAGACATATGTAACAGACCCAGGTCCTGGGCCTGTTTGGTCAGATTATATTTGTTCCTGAAAAATACAGGATGAGTCAGGCGGACGCGGCGTTTCCTTTTGTCCCGCATCAGCCATATTGGCGAAGGAGAGCCACTGACCTCACTACACCTGCTCACCATACGCCACCTGCTGGCTTCAGGGTGTTATTACAACGTGAACGTCCTTATTATGGAACAAAACTAATCTAAATACTAAATACAACTAAACACAACGTGACAACACATTACTGGGTGTCACACATACAAGTCACGTCCTCTGGATACATATATGCATGAAACAAACCAGTGGCACCGTATGGGTAGAATAAAATTGAGCACAATTTATAAACAAAAGCAGGATTGGTCAACATCCTACTCAAGTCGCATCCAAGACAATCAAAGATCATTAAGTACAGTACAGTCTCTACAGTATTCAAACATGTAGCAGCAACTACCAGACTTTTCTGAGGAAAAAACATGAGCTTTTCCACTTTCCCCGTTCACCTTAGTCACACAAGAAAAAAGTCAACGTAATACCCAAAGTGTCCTGTTGATACTATTACAAAGAAAAAAAGTATTATTTTAATAAGATAGGGATGTTACAAATGTAACTTTAATGCAGAAGAAACTGGTTTAGATGCTCATGATTTGGACAAGGGCGTAGGTTTGCGTGGGGACCATGGGGACATGTCCCCACCAATATTTGGTGAGGACTAAAAAGTCCCCACCAAAATGACATGATGTCCCGTGACCCGGACGGTCCGGGACACATGTCTTCCGTTTGTGCATACGTCGCGCCTCCTCCTCGCCTCCAGAGCAACAGCAGCAGCAGCAGCACGTGACCCGTTCCGTTCTCTGCAGTGATTGGCTGTCTTCTTCAGCGCCAAACTGAAGCACTGAGCGACTGTTTAATTTTTAAAAGTTAGCCAGCGTGAAGCAAGTGTTTTTTTTTGTTCCCTGAGCGTTGTAGCACGTGAGTAAACAGAGGAAAGTACTGTAGATCTATTACCATTCAAAGTACTTACGTTATTTCTAATCTGTCAGCGCACTGTTTAATGTTCCGAGGAGCTCACACGGCACAGAGACAGAACAGAACTGGCTCCAATAAAGAAACAGGTTGGTTGAAAGGCTGAAAAAATACTTATTGTGCTCTTACTATCCAAAATGTATAAGTGGGTGTGTTGTGTGAATCAGGATAAACTAGGGATGAAAATATTCCACGGATCCACGATTTACAACCTTTATCTGCTGATAATGTGATTTCTGTGAAATGTGTGACAGCGGGTACTTGCTGTTATTTGCTCTAAGCACATTCAAGAGATGCACTCGAATGTGCACGTCCTGGTGCAGCTGCTGCCGCTTTGTAATGACAGCCGCGGCGCTCAGTGAAAGCACAGCTCTAACATGGTACCGAGCTCGGACCATATGCAGACAGAACCATGTTGCAAGTGCGGGTCTCCCTCGTATCTCCCCCGTTTCTCCCCTGTGTCTCTGACATGTCTCTCCCCTGTGTCTCTGACATGTCTCTCCCCTGACTCTTCCCAAAGCGCAACCAGCGCTCCCGAAATTAAAGCTCGGATACGTAAATTTTCCATTGCGTTAACGATGCATGCTGGTTGTGCGCAAAACACACCACAACAGGTCATTTAAGTTTTTATTTTGCATACTTGAGAGCCCTGTGAGTCATTACTTGCCTTTTTGGGTAGAGAGTGGAATAAAAAAAAAGAAAATATAGAAAAATCCACACTGTTACTTATTGCCAAACTCTTGTTAACTCATTGTATTGAGAAATACTATGTAACTTTTGACATTGGCCAAGTTATATAAATGATTCTGCAGTTCATGTATATGAATGGCTGTTTTTGATTGTCTATACCTTCTTATATAATTTAGAAAAAATGCCACCTCCACAAATAAGATAAAAGATATCAGGAGCTTTTTTAACAGTTGGAAAGTAAGAAGTAAGAGAAAGCACAAGTAATAGCAAATTATGAATTGTGATGATTAATCTTCTGTTAACATACATAACTGCTTCTCATTCAGTCTACAGCTGAGTTTAGTATAGAAGGCAACACACTATTGCAAATATAGTGTGTGATTACACAACAAATTCTGGGGGAGAAACTCTGGACCCCGTGTCAATGGGTGTAGACTCAGGTCGTAGTGAATGTCCCCACCAAGATTGGAACCAAACCTACACCATTGGTGGGGACTTTTTAGTCCTCACCAAATATTGGTGGGGACACGCAAACCTACGCCCTTGGGTCCAACTTGCTTCCTATGTCTGACTTCAGCTCTCTTACCATCAGCTTCTCCAGGCACTTCATAACATTGGAGGTCAAGGCTATGGGCCTAAATCAGCCCCTAAGGCTTGGTTTTGCTTCAAATGTGGGGAAAATAACCACGTTGCTAGAGAATGCAGTAATCCCCCAAATAAGGAACTTGTTGACAAAAAATACAAAGAGTTTAAGGCAAAACAAACAGAATGGCAAGCAAGGTATGGGCAATCTTTAAACTGGACAGGGTTTCAGTAGAGGGACAGACTGAGACCTCAGCAGAGAAAAGTTCCAAACCAGAGCAAAGAAACGAGGAGAGCAAGAAAGCACAACAGATAAACAGTATGACACATTCCCACTAAGCACTTTCAGATGAGGCTCTCTTAAGTGTCTTGTTGGTTCTAAACGTACAGCCACACTTAACATTGATGGCATTCAGAGCGTATGTCTCCTTAACTCTGGCTCCCAAGTGACTACAGTGTCAGAGACATTTCATAAGCTACACCTCCCATCACGTCCCATACAATCAGTGGCCAGCTTGCTTGACATTGAGGGAGCAGGGGGGCAACCAGTACCCTATTTAGGCTATGTTGAAGTCAACCTCTCTTTCGCCAAAGAACTTACTGGGAGAACCGAGGAAATGAATACTCTAGCACTTATCAATCAATCAATCAAATTTTATTTATAAAGCGCTTTTCATACAAAAAGTGTAACACAAAGTGCTTTACAGTTTAGTTAAAAACAATCCAACATGCCCAGCCCAAAACCCTCCTCCCAACAGACCCCACATTTATAATTATATATACAACCACATGCGTACACACACACACACACACACACACACACACACACACACACACACACACACACACACACACACACATACAAGTATAAAGTCATATCAGGGAAATAGGTAAAACAATAAAAAGAAATGGGGCTGGGAGCAGATGTAACCGGCTGAAGAAGCGCCATCCAAGGAGCAATCTGCACCAGGAGCAGAGAGCCGGCTGCAGCCACAGGGAACGACACATGACCCAGAGGAGAGAGGGGCCCCAGACCCCACCAGGCCCAGGACTCAGACCCCATAGGACCCAGAGGAGAGAGGAGGCCCCAGACCCCCACCGGATCCAAGAGCCAGACCCCCGAAGCCACAGCAGACCCCAGCTCTCAGTGCAGAGGGCTCCTCCAGAGGAAACACTGGGGACACTAAAACAATACAATAATACAATAGAAAGTAGAACAATAAAATGTGACAATAAAAAGAAAAATGGCAGCTGCCTAATATTGATAATAACAATAGTAAATGGGTAGATACAATAAATAATTAAAAATAGTAGATAATAAAAATAGAATGTGTCTAAAAACATAAATAGATGTACTAAAAAGCAATAATAAATAATAAATACTAATCAAAAGCTACTCTAAACAGGTGCGTCTTGAGCCTACTCTTAAAAATATGAACGTTCTCTGCGGCCCTGAGCTCCTCCGGCAGACTGTTCCAGAGACG